TTTTTTTTGTACCTGAACCAGCTAAAATTGTAATAGTTTTGAATATTCCCCATATATTTTCTGCTTTAACTATGTCCTTATGTTATTTTGTCCTATTCTTATTTCCTTTAGTTCAAAGTTCCTGCAGCAACAAGTGCCATTATAACAAATGGTAAGAATATAGTTTATATATATTTTTAATGGATTTTTGTATTGTAGTTTCAGTGAAGGGATACTCATAAAAGCAAAAGTGTTTTTTCTTTCACAACCTCTACAGACTGCAAACTGAATTTAATAATGTTGCAGCATTATTTAAATTGCTTATGCATGGGATGAAGGTATTGAACCACTAATATTATTAATTTGGTTTTGTCCTAATATATAGCTTGAATTTTCTGTGCTGAAGGTTTCTTGTTAGCTCCTATCATAACACTATTTTTGCTTATAGGAAATAGCTGGATGAAAGCCTGATCTAATAATTATATCTTGTTGGTATATTATATTTTTTGAGCTTTAAGTTTAGTGTAGTAAATTGTAATATGTACGTTTCATCTTCTTCTCTTTTTTCTGTTCTTTTTTTTTCTAGATGGTATAGGAATAAACCCTGCACAGACAGCAGGTAAGTTGTTATTTATAAAGCCTAGTATTAAAAACCTCAGTTATTTTTCTTTTAAACTAATGCATAGCACTCAGGGTTGATTTATATCTCAAGTTTTGATTTCTTAAATGGGAGAAGCATTACCCAGTAGTTGAAAACTACAGTCAGTGTAGTGTGTAAAAAAATCCACAGAACTATTGTTCAGCATTTGTTTATTTAGATCTGTGAAAAAAATGAGGCACTTCTTATCTTCAGAGCTTAGCTATTTAGTGGGCAGTTTAAAAGAGCTGTATTACATATTACTGAAATAACATGTAATAGCTATATTTTTTCCCCCACTATACCTAGTTCAGTCATATTTGCTATTTTAGCAGCACCTCTCATGAGATACATTTAAAAATAATACTCAGGTTTAGACTAGGAACTCTAGGTGCTTTGTAAAGCAAGTTTTCAAGAAGAGAGGATCTTCTTGCCTATAGTCCCCTTGTTCTTACCAAGGCATTCTAGGTGCGAAATCTCTGGTTTCAACTGTGGAGGCTGGCTGTAAGACAAGAGTTTCTCTCTGTCACAGAAGAGTGTAAAGCTTTTCCCCATCACCTCCTGAAATACATGGAAACATAGTACAGATTGTACTAATAATAGTCTGTTGTCTGGAAGCAGGCTTCTGCAGACTAGTTCTTGAAAAGCTATACTTATAAATTAGTTTGGAAATTATTACAGTAATCTAATCTCAACCCATTTGAGATGAGCATTATGGTGGAGTGTCTTGTTAGGGAAGAAATGTTTATAACTTTCTACTAAGAAATAGTAAAAATGGCTTTGGTGCTTGTGGAACACAGTCATCCAGTGAAGCATGATGAACAGTTGATGGGGACTTGTGGCTTCTCTATTTTTTGCATGAAATCTCTGCCAGGTCTCATTCATTTGTGCCCCTTATCTGTCAGTCGTTACTGAAGATACCAAACCTTCCCTCCCCCCAGATCTAAAGAGAGAATAAGAACTTAGCTATGTAAGATAACTAGTATAAAGTAAATCCTTGGAGAGCACATAATAGTATCTGATGGTTAGAAGAGCAGTTGCTTGACATTAGGTTGGGGAATTTCTTGGAATTGTAAAAGGAACCGTTTTGAGTGTAGTGACCCATTTCTGAGGTCTGTGATTGGATCAACAACATTTAAAAATGAAGATCAAGTGAGTGTTTGGCGCTATGCCCCACAGGAGGTTTCTGTCCTTCTTGGGCTTGTCTTAGGACACCTGGATTATGGTTTGACAGGTGTACTGCCTCAGGCAGACTCCTCAGCTGATGCTGTCTGCATCATGATCCCATGACGAAGTGTATTCAAAACAGATAATAAAACTAATAATTTAGTTTAGCCACTAGATCATCACCCACGTGTAAAGCTGCACTTTCATATGACCACTCAAGAATACTCAGGTAAAACAGATAAAGTCAGTTGCTTAAGTTAAGGTATACTTAACGCTGTTTCTCTTCCTCAAAAGTATACTTTCGTTTTATATTATGTAGTTCAAATTAGTTGTAGCTTAATCCTGCAAGGTAAATGTATTTAGGGTTACTTGACTCCTGAATGAAAACATCCACATGGTAGTTCATAATGCTTGCAGCTATGCATATTGAATTCTCATCTCCAATTGATTTGCTTTACCTCTCCTAAGCTCTTATAAATGTTGAGGAATTATTCAGTAGTAGTAGAAGACAGCATCTCGTAATGAAGGATTAGGTAAATCAAAAGCATCTAGATGCAAAAAATGTTTTCATCCCAGTATTAATCTTATCTGCAAATGTAAGCATAGGCACATGGATTTCACATGGATTTTTTTTTATCATAGAAGGTATCATTGCCCTGACAGTGCTGTATGACGTTGCCCTTAAACTGGAAAAAAACCAAAACCAAAAAAACCCCCACCAAAATCCCAACCACTCCCCCCCCAAAAAAAAACCAACCAAAAAACCAATCTACACCAAACCAAAGACCTGCACCAAATTCCCTCCTCAGTTTACAAGTAAACATGTAACTTTGATATAACTTTATGTTCAGCCTTATTAATTGGTATCTCAGAAACTGTAGGGTAAAACATACTTTTTTTTTCCTTTTTCTTTTTTTTTTTTGCATATATTAAAGTTCCTGTAGATTGAACAGTTACTTTAGTCTTCAGAAACTTCCCAAAATAAGATGATCTAGGAATAAAATCTTAGTAATCCTTGGGGATTTCAGAGGTTTTGTACTGTTCCACTGTTTCCTCACCTTTCTTAATAAAAGTACTCCTCAAGTATGGCTTTCATTCTCCCCATATGATTCCACGGAGCAGGGGAAATGAAAGCTGAAAAAGCTAGGCTTAGCACTTAATTCCTGTATTTATTTCAATTTTAAACCCTTGATAGTTCAGGGAATAGTGTGCCATAACTGTAATAAAACCACTGTGATATTAATGATGGAAACAGACTGAGAGGTGAGGTGAACTGTTGTCTGCATGAGATGCAGCTGTGGCCTGTTTTAAAATCAAAATGTTTTATGATGGCCGTTGCAATACGCATACCTTTTTGTCCAAATTGGTTAGCTTAGTTCTCTGGTTTGCTGGTGTGACAGATTTGCGTTCAGTGGATTTTATAGATCTCTTCAGTATGTCGTCTTGGCAGATCGCTAAAAGCAGAACATCTTCTGATAACACATTCTTTTGAACTGATTTTATAATACTCATTATGTTGAATAAGTAGAATGGTTTCAATCCTGATCCGTGTGCTGGAAAATTGAAGTTTGAAAAAAGGGTAGTTTTGTTCCAATATGCTAATAACTTGAACAAATATTAAATATCTTCATCTTTTTTATGAGAGCACTCTACATCCATGAAATGGGTTGCTTAGGAGAGAAATACAGTTATTCTGTTTTTACAAGTCAACACACAGATCGATAACAATAGGTAGATATTATTAAAACTTGATACTGTAGAATTTGGCATAGTCTGTTTCATGTAGTAGGAGTATAAAGTTAAATAAAAAGTTCCATATAGTAATTAAATAATGCATCACTTGTAGCAATGTGGTTTCATTTTCAAGCGTTACATTTAATAGAATAGCAACCTGAATGACAATCCTGAATACATGCAGAAAATATTCTAGACGTCTAAGTATGAGAAACTTCTAATTTTCATACTATGTCCTCTTGAAACGACTATCATAATTAAGACTATACAGTAATAATTATGAAGTTCAAGGGGTTTTTTAATGCTAAAATGAGACTGATTTTTGCTTGGATATGTGGAGAGCCTTCCTAAAAGAAAAGTACAGTTGAGGTTCTGAAATTAGAAGCAGATAAGTACTGAACCAAGGAGAGAATTAAAAATGAGTGTATGCATGAATGACCTCAAGATAAAAAAATAATTATGGAGAAGTAAAACTTCATTTCCCAGTCTTGGAATTATTATGGTGTATAAGTGAAATCAGACATTCAAATATGGAACTGCAAAGTTTGAAAGGCAATAGCTTGCAAGTCTTACTAGATGACTTTGGATCTGGTATTTGTATTTAAAAATAAGACTTCTTTGGAGTAAGAGGGATAAGATGAAATTCCATGGAAATATAAATAAAATGTATTTCTGGTATATTAGAGGAATTACTATGAAGATGTTAAATGCTGACCTAACATTATTATCACTTAAATGTATATGCTTGTTTAGGTAACATTTTATTTGATTGTTAGTAACACATTCTGTTTTGTTTGTTTAGGAAATGTGTTTCTGAAGCATGGTTCGGATCTACGAATTATTCCCAGAGATCGTGTTGGGAGTTCTTAACGTCTGCTGAAAGCTTTGGAATAAGTGACATTGCTATGCAGCAAAGGTCTATTTATTTGGGAACTACAAAATACAACTAATGAATTGGCCTTTTTTATAGCTAGCAAAAATTACTTCCTGGGATTTTATTTTTTTTAAACAGAGATAAGTTTTCATTTCTTGTCAAAATACATTAACTCATGCACTGATTCTTCCTTGACTAGTAGAAGAATGGGCTGATTTCATGTTATGTTCCTGAAAGAAAGATGGGCTTCTCTATAGGTATTACTGACAGCACAAGGGTAAACACACAGCCATGACCCATTGATATTTAAAGTATCGGATATGGTTGAGCCTACTTTGTGGATGGGGGAACTGTGTTATGATTTTGCTGCAAAGAAATTATTCCTACTGAATGCTAAAATGTTTACTTTTTTTTTCCTTTATTTTTTTTTCTAAACTTCCATCTTTAGAGGAACAGTTTTCACATGATTCAAGTATTAAGCTCAAAAAGGTTTATTTCAAGGGTTTATTACTCAAATAAGTAAATAACTGCTAAATGTTCCAAAGTAATTTTAAGATTAATTGCTGCAAATATTTTAGATGGAGGAGAAAACAGAGGTTTCTATATATTAAAACTTCATTTGACGTATTATGAAGTTAAATTAAATGTAGTTTCAGAGAATTGATGAGATGTAATCTCCTCACAATCCTCCATCAACTGAGAAGGATTGCAGCGTAATTTGGGAATGTGTAGGTACTGGTCAAATAGGTCATTCCTTTTTCGATAAACTAATACTGGTTCTTTCTAAAAGTCTTGTTTTGTGTTGCATTGCATTTGCGCGTTACACAGGAAACAGCGTAGAATTCACTGAAATGTTTGTGTTCAGTTTAATGCTTCTTGTTTATAAATTGCCAGGGGTAAACTATCAGTTGTGTATTTTAATTAGAGAAATCGCTGCTTTTCTTGAACTGGTAATCTATTTTGTGATTTAATGTATCTGGCAAAATCTTACCCTATTGCATTTTTTTTTTTTTTGTTCTACTGAGTTTAACAAAAGGATCAATGGGCAATGTAATGTTTGGTTAAATGAGTACTATCACAAATATAACTGTCCTGTGCAATAATTGTGCTCTAGAAAGATGTTCAGATGTGTCAGTGCAGAAGTACAAAATGCCCTTCTGAGTATATAAAGGAAAAAGTCTTCTGAAAGTGGTATTTGACTACATACATTTTCCAACTCTAAGATGAACTGTAAAATTCTGGATTTTCCTTTATTTTAATAAACAATTATGTGAAAAAGTGCAAACTTTGTTCCTCTCTCATATTCTTAATTAGATTTTGACAATAATTAAAAACTGCCCTTTAACCATCTAATCAGCAGGCTTGGAGATTCATTTCAAGCCAAAAGATTCTTATTATGCAGAATTCTACAGAACACTACACTTAAAGGACAGAGTGCATAGTGTCTATTAATCTAATGCCACAATATAATTAGGATGAGCCATATTAATTGCTTATAATTTTTGTTTGCAAATCTCTTGACTGAATACTTGAAAAACCACCTGATACTGGAATATAACAAACAGGAACCTTTTTTTTTTTCCTGTCTAAAGATGCAATATAGTTTTCAAAAGGCCATCATGGTTAAAAGCCTTTTGAAACTAAGGTGCTTTGATGTTTATGTAGAGGAGGATTATGCAAAAACAATTTCAGATAATGACAACATTTCTTACACTGCTACATAGGTAATAACACAGCATAAAGTATTTGACATACTGCATTGCAAGTAGTTTATGTAACATGCAAAGGGTCTGTTAATTTGGAACAATAACTGGTCTTTGTAGTACTTTCTGTGCTCATTACACCTTTGTCTCAATTTGATCTCTAAAGATATGAACATAACTTTTCTGTTTGATAAAGAGGCTTAATTTCAGTGGTAAAATATACTTGGCAAATGTCTGCAAGTTGATCTGATGTTTGCAAGTTAATTTTGTTATGTCTAAGTCATGTTTGACATGGTTGTAAAGGAAAAAAATTAAGTTTAGAACCAGACTTCCTAGGGCTTGGGTGTTGTCATAAGACTGTGAAAAGTGCTGAACTCTCAGACTTGTACTGGTTTGTCTAACCATACTTTAAGACATACTTTGGAAATCAGCTCTACCTAGAGTTTGTATTGTCTGTGGCTCTGCTTATTACTTGACTGTTATTAAATGAAAGACTTCTGTTTGTGATTAACTTTGTCATGCCTTTGCTGAAGTCAATTTAAAGGGTCTTTTTCCCTGTATACATTTGTAAAAGAATGGGAGGTTTGTGTTACAAAGATACTCTGTGAAGCGAAATTTTGGCAGAATCATAAATGTGAAAAGTCCCATCAAAACTTAAAGAGCTGTAATCGTTCTTTTTATATACTATTATGGAAGTCTTATTTTTGTCAAATCTATTATTTGATAGAATTTGAAGATACCATAGAAATTTTTCAGAGAGGGAAGCACAATGATCTGATGAATTATAGAAGGATTGGAAGAGTTAGGAAATGACCCTGATAATAGTTCTGTCAGTAGTAATGACTTTCTTGTGTTCCCAAGTCACAAAATCCAATTTTATTCCGTGTTTAAGATTAAAAGACCACTTTCCTCTCTTGTTGCTACTAAATAACAACCATAAAAATTGTTGACAGCAGGTCTCAAAAGTTGAGAATTTTTCTTCTTTGTGATTAGGTTGATGGTGAAGACCCAGCTGCCACTCCAGTGCTACAATGAGCAGTCGGAGTGAGGGAAGGAGCTGTGCCTGTACGACTGTAGAATGTTAGTGAATTCTGAAGGTGCCAGGGCACAGCAGAGCTTTGTATGGCAGCATGCGGGTGGCCGTCAAACGGACCACTTCAATGGACCAGTGGAAAAACTAAATCCTGCAGTCATCCTAGTAGTGCTGGGAGAGTGTGTTTCAGTGATACTGGCAGGACTGCTAAGCTCCAGCTGAGTAAAATTCGGTCCATGTGCAATACACAGTGTTCAGCTTTAAATACAGAATACCCAACTGTGTATCTATCTCAGTAGTGAATTTCAGCCACTGCTCCTAGTGATGGAAGGTAAATACTGGGGAGTATTCACAAAGGCTAGCGTGATCTTTTTGAGGCTAATCTCTGCAGGCTGTTTCTGAAGTTAATGGCAGTGAGGTTCCTCCAGAGAGAGATTCAGAGTAGCTAAATGAATCTTCAGTTCTGAATCGCCCTCTAAAGGAGCCTTGCTCCCTTTACTGATTAGAGAAAGCCCACAGGCTTTAGCCTGCAGGGGCTAATGTTAACCTTTGTGAATACCTTCCCCAACAGGCACTTCAATATTATATGGTATAGCATTGTACTACTTACTTGCTGTTTGGTGTTGATGTTTAGCACGTGATACAAAGCTCCCAGGGACTTGTTCAAAACCAAAATTACAAGAACTAGTTTGCATGAAAACAAACCTACTTTTTAATGTGATATAATTAGTTGAATACATCTTTTTTTTTTTTTTTTCTTTTTACAGCAGGTTCAGGCGCCTTGGGGGGGGTGG